TTTTTTGGGGGGGGTTCGTTTTTTATTTTTATTTTTATTTTTTTTTTACACTGGTTTTTCTCCTCCTCCCAGTTACTCTGGGTCTTAGTTGCTTTTTATTGTCTTACTTGGGACAAAAAATGATTAGAAACTAAATGTTTGATTATTTAAGAAGAGACGTCATCGCGAACGAATCTCTTATTTATAAAGATGATAACAGACTAGATTAAAAATTAAAAATTAATCGCAAAACATTTTCATATTTTTAAATTTGATTTTTCAAATATGAATATTCTATTTTGAGATGAGAAATTGTCAATATACTTTTGACATGTTCGGTTTATACGAACAAATGCACACGTCTTTATTATAGATACTATTATAGACATGATTTTAGGTATCCATTATTTTGTTTAATAAGTGATATGGTAGTGTTGACTACGAAGGTGCCAACTTGATAGACAAGATAGGCAATGACTACCCTGAATAAAATGCATTAGAAACTGCATCTTTCTTTCCGTCACAATAGACACCTAATCCAACAAAATTATGAAAGTGTCTTTTATAATTATGCACAAAAACCGTATATATATATATATATATATATATATATATATATATATATATATATATATATATATATATATATATATATATATAGTGTATCACATTTCTTCAAATATTTAAGTATATCTCTTCATGGGACAGCACTGACAAAATGATATTTTGACACAATGAAAAGTTAGCCTGTCTGCAGCATATATAACAGAGTTGATTTATTTTCCCTCAAAATAACTCAAAATATAGCCATTAAAAAAGCTAAATCCCTGACAGCAAAAGTGAGGACACCCTAAGAAACTACACCCCTAAAAAGTGAGTACACCCCAAGAAACTACACCCCCTAAATGTCTAAATTGAGTACTGCTTTTCATTTTCCCTCCAAAATGTCATGTGACTCATTAGGTAATCTATGCCCATGTGTTCATGGGGGAGCAGGGGGTATTCAAATTTGTAGTGCAGCTCTAACACTCTCTTTAGGTCACTGAAAGTTCCAACATGGCACCACATGGCAAAGAACTCTCTGAAGATCTGCAGACAGACTACTTTTCACTGTGTCAAAAGGAATTTTTTTCAGTGCTGTCCCATGTACTTAAATATTTGAAGAAATGTGAGGGGTGTACTCACTTTTGTGATACACTATATATATATATATATATATATATATATATATATATATATATATATATATATATATATAGTTTATGAAAAACTAGGTAATCCGTATGAGTAGATTCAAGGAGGATAAAATCCAGAGAGCTCAATGTAAATCCAGAGCAATAATTTAAAAAAACAGACCACTTTCTGACCATATTTATTTCACAGCCTTTTAAGGACTGGGATCATCAGACTTTACTTCGAAATGTTGAAAGTAAAGTCTAATGATCCGCAGTCCTTTAAAAGGGCTGTGGTGAAATAATTTTATTACATGGAACCTTAAAGTGGTCTGTTTTTATATATATATATATATATATATATATATATATATATATATATAGGCGGTGGAGAGCTATGAACGCCAATATTCTGAAGGGGCACGAAAAGGAATTGTCTCGGAGTGCATTTGGTCGTTTGGAAGATTTAGATAGGATTAGTAAATTGGGTGATAGTGGTCTTACGCTAAGTGGGGGGCCGCTGGATGCGGTATTAATTAAGAGTTAAGATTTGACTCTTATACTTAACGCTTATACCTAATATCAGGAAGAGACAATTGGAATTTCTAGGGCACATAACGAGGAAAGAGGGCTTGAAGAATTGATATTCATAAGATATTTCGATGTTAAGAGAGACAGAGGAAAACAACGCCTAACCTATTTGTTGAGTTTAGGTCAATAGATACGAGAGCAGGGCATGGCATGAGTGTGATAACAAAAACAAAAAAAAATAATCTATTGACTGCTACAAAATACAGAAAATTGTTCGAGAATCATGATCGTAAACATCCTGAAGTGTCCACGGCACATAGATGAACGATTTTAAGATTTACGGATTCTCTTTTGAGGGAATGAAACCATTTATATTATCATTAGTTTCTATGTGAAGCTTAGATGTGGCACAAGGTCGTAAGTTTTGAAAAGTCATTACGAATCGCACTCACTACTCAGTCGTAATTGTCCTATCGAGACAAACTTGCTAGGCATTACCCCACGACAAGGTGCCCAAGTTCAGTTTTATTATGATTGGAATCAAATACAATGGGTATCCGTAGACTGTTTTTTTAATAGAGTTTGATATATATATATATATATATATATATATATATATATATATATATATATATATATTGTCACGATGAGCTTACTGGCTTTGTTAATACTGTTGATCACTCTAGATACCGCACTCCCCAGAAACTGTAACTAAGGTCTGCTCAGCATAGTTGCAGTATAAATCACAGGTGGACTCTATGGGTGTTAATCAATTACAAATATGTCTGAGCAGGCATCTGTAATGGGGATTAGCTTGCCTCCCAAGTAGACTGTCATCCTTGGATACGAGTTGCCGCGCCATTTAGATTTTAAATATATATTGCAGTCCTTCACATAAGAAAAAATAGTTTGATGCGTAATCATTGGCTATAGACTATGGATTTCATCGTTTCTTTTGTGGTAGAAATCAGAATTCAAATAATAATTATAATGGATCTTCACAGACTCCTTTGATTTTTTACGATTCCTGTCGTGCCAGCCCTACCTGGGAAAGATGGCGGATAGATTTCTTGTTTCCTTCTCCAAGGTTTTAATTTCAGCATGATCTCACACTAACGACTATACCTGGAGAAAAAGTTTATTATTTCATACTATTTAGACCATATATTTGATGGATTAATTGCCTGGGAAGAAGTGAATATTAAAAATACCATCTCTTTTCATGAGCTAGTAATACATTGCTCGGCAAGAACTCCATTTTGGATATTAACACTTCCGCTGCTAACTACGGAGATGTTCGTTTTTCTTATCTTGCTCCATCTGGCTAAGTACGGAAACCTAAGTTTTTTTGCATACCGCTGCATGAGTGTCCCGTTGCGCCATCTATCGTAAAATCACAAAGGACAATGCTTCAAAAGATATCATGTGTAGACCCATTACTAATCTGGTAAGTCATTCCCAGGTATATCCATGAAAATGGAAGGCTGTAAAACACACTGGTGACAGTTTTCTGTGTTATAAAATATGTAGGTTGAAATTTGGCATTTTCTTTAAAAATGCCTGGCCGGATGGGGGCAGCACTGGGCAAATGAGTAGCAGTGAAAGGGTTAATTGTGAGCTACCCTGATATTTTGTAAAGTTGTTTCTCATTCTCTTCTGCACCGTTTAAAATTCAGTGTAGTTCTAGGCTGATTGCCATCCAGGTCTAAAGACCACAGTCTTCCCTTCTATTTAACACACAGGTAGGTGTAAGGCACTTGTACTAAAGTGACGGGGACAGAAAAGCGAGAACCGAACGGGGCAGATAAATGGGCAGATAAAGCGAGAATGTGAACTAGTCTGACGGATTCCATTTTCTATTTTGATACTTGTTACACTAAACACCATCCTCATTAGCATTACAGTTCTTTATAATGCCTACCATCGATAAGTCCCGACACATTGTTTATATCATAAACGTTTTAACTAAAAGGGGGAAATTGGTCTAGGACACTTATCAGTAAGTATAGGCGATATCAGAAGAGGGAGAAGCCCACTATAGAATCCTTTGAGAAGGCCAACATATTCGGCGTATAGTAGAGAAGCATTTCAATGACCGACTCACAAATTTAGCATAACGTTTGCTTACGGCGAGTCCACATAAGAAAAACGGCTTCAGTAATTATCTCAATGTCGAAACACATTTCCCTGAACACCATCATCCAGAAAATGCCTGGAGCCGATCCACTGTCCTGTAAAGACATTTATATTAGCCGTGTCAATAAATCTAATAACAAAAGAGCAGGAATTGAAGCTTAGGTGGAAGGTGGTTATTGAGAGGCTGCGAAATAGTTTTCTTTATATGCAGTGAACGCAAAGATCGCAGACTTTGCCAAAAAATTGACAAAATCAATTCCTCCCACGTGATTTTCGACGTCTCGATTATTTAGACCTCTATGCAGATTTGATTTGGTTTGCTTTGGTTTATTTTTATGGCATATCAAGCTCAATCGGTTATTTAATACCGACAAGATTGTTATTGCTGCTAACATTTTCTTTTTCAAAAAATGTATTTGTAGTAATATTTTTTTTCCGAAAACGTATTGCAGCTAATATTTTTTTCAGAAATGTATTGCTGGTAATTTTTTTTTTTAGAAATGTATTGTGGATATTTTTTTCAAAAATATATTGCTGGTAAAATTTTTTTCAAAAATGTATTGGTGGTAATATTTTTTTCCAAAAATGTATTGCTGGTCATATTTTCTTCAAAATTCATTGCTGCTAATAAAACTTATTTTTACACGTTTTAACCTCAGTTTGGGGGTTAACTATTTACTCATAGACGGGGCCCTAACAGGTGCTACCAACCCGTGTCAGGGTGGACATGGGAACACCAGTAATTAAGCGGTGGTTCCACGCTCCTCAAAACCTGATTAGTGGCCTTGTCGTCGGATGTAGTTTATCGTCTTACCCAGGACGGCATCTATAAAGAATATGTAATTATTTTAAGCCTGTTTCACACAAACCAATAGGGCTAAAAATCTGATAGTCTTAGACAAATAAACTTTGAAACCCATCAAATAAACTGATGCCAGTTTGGCAGAGACAAATATAAAGTTCAGTTCAGTAGGATTTTTTATATCTTGCACGTAGGAATACATGACCCTTGTTGTTTTATGTGCCTCGGTCTGACGACACGGAAATTTTTCAAGAACTCCACATTTTCCTGTCTTTTGTTGCTCTCAGTGACTCCTAGTCGTTGCTATGTCATCCATTTACATAATCTCTTTATGGAGGTTATTCGTTTTTTCCGACTTTGCTTCTTTCCTTCGTGCTCAGATCACCTTTTCTTCCTCTATTTCACACTCCACTTCGTTCTTTCACTGTTTCACATCCTCTTTTTTCTTTCCAGTTTGTCACCCTCGTTTTTCTTTCTCTATTTTCCCAGTCCCCTTTCTTTCTTTACTTTCTTTCTCTATTTCCCACTCCCCTTCTTTCTTTATTTCCCACTCCCCATCTTTCCTTCTTTACCACCCCTTCTGTATTTCCCTGTTTACAACATCCCTCTTTTATTCCAATGTTCCATAATTCATTTCGTTCCTTCCCAGTTTCCCCCTCCCCCTTTTCTCTACCTTTTTTCCCAAGATTCTTTTCTTTCTTTCCACGTTTTTCGCTTTCTTACTTTCTTTCACTGTTTGCCACTCCCCTTCTCTCTTACCCTGTTTCTACTAACTTTTTCTTATCCTATTTCTCACTCCCCTTCATTCTTTCCTTGTTTACCACCCTCTTTATTTCCGTGTTTCCTCCCACTTCTTTCTTTCACTGTTTCCCACTTTTCTTCTGTTTTTCCTTGTGTTGAACCCCACCATCTTTTTTTCCTTGTTCTATAATTCCCTTCTTTCCTTCTCATGTTCTTACTCCGCTTTTTTCTTTATCCTTTTCCTCACTTCTTTCTTTCCTAATTTTTCTCTTCCCCAGTTCCTTTCACTGCTCCTCACTTCCTTTCACTGTTTCCCACTCCCCTTCTCTCTTTCCCTGTTCCTACTCCCCTTTTCTCACTATATTTTAACTTACACTTTTCCTTCAATTTTTCATCCATTCTTTCCTTCCATTAAGTGTTTCCGACTTCCTCTCTTTTTTTCTGTTTATCACTTCTGTTATTTATTTTCATATATCCCACTTCTCTTTCTTTCACTTTCCTTTTATTACTCATCCCTTCCTTCTTTTTTCAACTACCCTTTTTTTCTCCCCCTGTTTTTTTTTACCCGCATTTTTCAATCCCTGTTTTCCGCTCACCTTTTTCTTTCAGTTTCCCATTCCCCTTTTTTTCTCTCCCATTTTCGCACTTTCTCTCTTTCCCTGGATACCGTTCCATTTATCTTACTCTGTTTCACGCTTCCATTCCACCTGCCCCTGTTTACGACATTTCTACATTCTTTTCCTGTTTCCTTCTCTTTTTCTGTCTTCCCTATATCTCAATTCCTTCCTTTATTTCCCTGTTATCCCGCCGCCATTCTTCTTTATTTCTGTTTCCACTCCCATCCTTTCTTTCTCTGTTACCAACTTTCGTTCTTTCCTTCTCTGTATTTCGCTTGTCTTCTTTCTTTCTTTCTTTCTCTATTTGCCGCCCCTTCCTTTCTTCCGTGCGTCTAACTTCCTTTCTTTCTTTCCTTATTTCCACACTCTCCTTCTATTTCCCCTTTGCATAATCCGCACCTTTATTTCCCTGTTACCAACTTTCCTTCTTTTAATTTTCTTTTTCCAAATTCTCTCCTTTATTACCTTGATTTCAACTCCCTTTTCTTTCTTGTTTCCCACTCTCTTTTCTCTCCCCCTTTTCTCGTTGCCCTTCTTTCTTCTCTGTATCAGAGTACCCTTCTTTCTATTCTTGTTTCACACCCCTCACTTCTTCCCATTTCTTCTTAGCCTTTCCCTATATTCCACTCCTCATTCCGTTACCTATTTCCAAGTTTCCTTCTTTCTCCTACAGTTACCACCCCCTTGTTTCTTTTTTACTATCCTTTACTTACAGTTTTTTCTTTTCCTCTATCCCACTCCCTTTCATTCTTTCCGTGTTTTCCACCTTTCTTTTTTCCCCTTTTCCAACTCACCTTTTTTTGTTGTTTCTAATTTCACTTCTTTCTTTCCGCCGTTTCTCTGTTTTCCACTTCTCTACTTTCTTTCTCTATTTCCCACACCCCTTTTTCTTTCAAGTTTCTTCAGAGCCAAGTTTACCAAGCCATTCGTCCACGGTATGTCCTAGAAAATTCAACTCGTTCCGATTATAAATATATATGCCACTTTCCTTCTGAAGTATTCCTTATTCCGTCTAAAGTTGCATTCGAATAGCAAAAAGCTAAACAACATATTAAGAAATTCGGAAAATTTTCTCAAAGCATAGAAAATAGTACTGAACTGCTATGTAATATAAATGTTCCTTTGTTCCCATGAATTATGGGTAACATTGAGCTTGAGGCGCGCGAGAGAATACCCCATGTCGAAGTGTCCGGTCGTAACCAAACGTGCACGACGTCGACCTGTATTGTTTAACGAGAAGGTCATATGAAAGAAGAAAATAAAGATCAAAAAGAGATGCTTCTAATTTGTGGAACGCATATTGAAGAAAGAAATCCACCACTCACCGAATATACGATGTGTGATTAAAAAGTATCGGAGTTGTTGCTATGGTAACGGAAATAGAATGGAGGTTCTTAGCATAGATTGACGCAAGATTCTGTCGCGTATAGGCACTATGTTATAATGTCTTCGCTTACTTCAATCGTTTATAGCAGAGCTTTGAAAGAAAATGTGTAGAGTCTGGTCGTCTCACCACAGCACAGAGGTTCCATCAGTGACCATTGTTTGTGCAGCAATTTTTGGACAATCACAACATTCTCCAGATCCGTCGACCACTATATTTTCCTGGTTTCGGTACATGGTGTTCTCAGCCGGCGTATCGCCCCATGGTAATCTCTTGGAAAAGTTGTACTTTTTTTGTCCTATTTTCGGTCTAATTCTGCTTCACGCTGTATTCATCAAGATTCTCATCATTAATTTGGTTATGTGGTTCATTAAACTGATTGTGCGATGGAGCTCGCAATCATTTGCTCCTCCCCCTTTTTTAGTAACGTTTAGATTAATTTAGTTAATATTGTATATTTCCTTTATGATCCTATGATACAGACGAAACAATATTGATAGCAGACAGAGAACTGAAAATAAAAGCAATCCAACAAAGGGCAGAGAAGGAAGAACTTAAAATGAATTTCATATGAATGCAAAGTTGTTAACAAAGGGACAGGCACATTACAAATTTGAGGTACCAAACTCAAACACATATCTTAAATATCTTGGAAGTGTTTGAACATTAGACGGAAATTCTTTTGATACATGACTGACGAGGCAGATTTTTTTTTCCTCTCAGTAGGTTGACATTTCGTTCTGCAATAGACCAGTTGCCATCCATAGATGTTGGGGAAAGAGGAAGTTGAATACACTTCCCAAGGGTATTAGCCCGTAAATAATTTGATTCGAATAGAATTCGAACTCGGCTCTCCGATTCCTCAATCCCAGCCGCTGTTTATTACTCTGTCGTGACTCCTAACTGGGGATACCAAACTCAAACAAATACAGCATTTAAATATCTTGGAAGTGTTTTAACACAGAATGAAAAGTGCGGCACTGAAATCGGAAGACACTTTGGGACAGTGAAAGATATATTCCAAAAAACTAAGAAAATGATTAAAAAAAAAACGAGAAAGTACTGGACTCTTACGCAATATATGATAGAGAATGATGGACAATTTCGTCACTGATGATTTAGGGCCCTGGAGCAACAGAAATATGGATCTACAGCTAGGATACTGAGAATGCTATCGACTTATGTCGCACTTCTTTTCTTTCTTTCCCTGTACCCGACGTCGTTTTAGAAGAAAGAGAAGCAAAAGTAACACTAGTACTTAACATAAAAGCCGAGATACCTGGAAACTCTAAGGTACATAACGAGAAAAGGAAGACATTTGATACTCACTGGACAGGTTGAAGACTAGAAAGAAGAAAGAGAATAACAACGAATAAACTATCCAGCGACCTTTTGTAAATGGATGACAGAACCGTGTTTAGGAGGGATAACAAAAAGAAAATATTTTTGGGAACTACGAAGGAGAATAAATTACAGGAAGTCATGATCTCCAAAGTCGTGAAGGGACACAGCACATAGTAGAAATCTTGTCGAAGACGATTTCGTCCAAGTCTGAGTTAACTTCTGTTACTGTCCCATCAGACCATGATTCATTGTTTGCGTTTACACTATTTACATTATTCAGATTGTTGTCCTCATTTTCGTTGCCGTATTCACCACGTTTCGGCTGTTGTACCGTCCGACCTTCTTCAGTGTCTATCTATATTTCTTAGATGAGGTATTCTATCTATTTACATCTTATATTTTTCGGACTGTTGTTTTTAAGGTTTTGCGTCCCGGCCTTTTTCAGGCGATTGGAATTTCGAGCTGAGCCTTTTATTTATTGTCCACCGGGATAGATTGTTCTATTTCCATGTGCCATACCACATCCGGATTTCCCAGTATCAGATATCTTCCTTTTATAACTTCAGTTGTAGTCAGGTATTTAACTCACTACATTTTGAGTCAAGTCACTGGACTGCAACACGTGCATTTCTGATCATCTTCTCCACGACAGATCTTGCACTATTGCACTGAGCCATCTTTTCTTTCTTGAAAATAATATGTTTCTTTAGTTCCAGTAGTTGTCAGAGAAGCCATAGATAAGAAACAGATATTTTTAGAGCGACGGTTTAATATAATTCCCATGACAAAAGATTTGAAGAATTCTTTACTTCACCATTACAGCAAAACTAGCCATTCTTTGTCCACAGGGTTGAATCACTTCTCTTACTCTTCGTATTTCATTTGTCAACTGAGAAATCAACCAGCTCTATTTTTATCTTCTGGTTTGGCCAAACAATAATAACGAAGAAAATGATTCTGCTTCGAATCAGATTCTAAATTATTTTATTGCTTCCTAACTTATCTGCGAAACTTTGGACATTTCTCACAGTTCCTTCATTTTAAAGCGTAACAATGACTTTGAAAAGGTTTTATTAGGAGATTTTTCTTTTGTTTGTTGGGCTTCTCATGAAAGGTGTACCTCGTTTACTCTATAAATGACAAAGTCTTGAAATAGTATCTAGTATTGAATGTTTCCCGAGGGTCAAACATTTAAAAATATATCACCAAAACCTCAAACTTAAGACAGGTTTGAAAAACACATATAAAAGGGAGAATGTTTCAAAATTATATAAATAAAATAATACTATATATATATATATATATATATATATATATGTGTGTGTGTGTGTGTGTGTGTGTGTGTGTGTGTGTGCATATATATATATATATATATATATATATATATATATATATATATTTATATTTTGGTTGGATTGATGAGTTTGTGACCCTGGGTTTCACGCTTTGCGATCGTCCAACCAAATATGTTAGCTCTATCTCTGATTTTGAGCGCTTTCTAATAAGTACCACGTATATGATATATAAATAATTATATATATATATATATATATTTATATTTATGCACACACACACACACACACACACACACATATGTGTGTGTGTGTGTGTAAAGACTAAGATTAAAGAGGTCGGAACGTATTGGTAAAGAATAGTTTTCTTCTGTCTTTATTCATATTGTCTTTTTACAGATATATGTATTATTTATAACTGAATCTTGACACAAAAACACACCCAGACAGGTAAGTGTGTGTATATGCTTGCGTGTGTGATAGCAATCGACGTGCGTGTGTGCCATGGCGGGACTATGACTAATTTCTACATCTACGTGGGTTTAAGAATTCAGAGATTTCTTTTTAGACTGTCTGCTAACTGTGCCCGAAGAGTCAAGTATACTCTACTATTTAACCGGTAGAAGGGGGGAATAGGTAGATTTATACTTATTGAAAGGCTTGCTGATTTACTTTTAGATTCATTTCGGTACGTTGTGATAAAATATCTGCCAGTAATGTTAAAACGTTGTACGAACGAGGGATTAAAACAATTTTCTCTTTTAATTAGAATAAAACTGAGCAACAAATGCGTTTATGGTTTGGTTTTGTAAAATATCTACAGAGTGCTATGGGTAAAATGGCGGAATTTTATATTATTAATTTCGCGTACGACAGTCGTTTGTATTTATTTTCACGACAGCACAGTATAGTAGGGTCAGAGGTTCACCTTCTGTGAGAAAAAGATCAATATCACGCAATTCCACCAGAAAAATAGAGACGACATACTCTACACCTTGATATTCGCACCGGAAGCTTCATCACGAACAAGTTCAGAGTGTTTAGGTGTTAATGTGAGGAGAGTGCAGATGATTCGGAAAGAGTTGAATGAGTGAAATTCCGAGGGTTTTTTGCATTGATCGCTAGTGATTATTACTGTATTCATGTTCCCACTGAGCCTCACTTAGCACAGCGGCCTACATCAAGTGCCTTGAGGAAGTAGGGCTGCACAGGGCCAAGAAGCTGTCTTGCAATAGGAATCTCCACCATGTCACAGAAGCAGGTAAACACTGTCAAGGCTTTCAAACAATTGCTGCGATCACATCACCTCTTACATTTGGCAGCCTAACTCCCAAGCAGCAATGCTCTAGATAATTCTGTGTGGGGTGCGGCTGAGCGAGAGACCCAAAAACTCTTTGTAACATCAAAAATGAACTGAAGAAAAGGATTATGGCAGGATTCACCAAATTAAACAAGACTATTTACAGAAGATCAAGGATTGTCTGAAGATTGTGTTTGTAGACAATGCCGTTTTTGTTTAATTCATTTACTCTTCAGTATTTCAAGATATTTTGGTCTAATTTTAGTAAATATATATGTTAAAATAGGATATCAGTGTTATATTCATTTGGTGTAATTTAGGCGATAATTTCAATGTCCGTACAAATGTCACAAATCCTTTCTCACCCTGGGTCGAACGAACTCAGCACCATAGGGCCAAACGAACTGGCCTCTTCTGCCCGCTTGGGGCGAACGAACTCGCTCCGCCGCGTCCGGGGCCGAACTGATTTCTGTCTGGTGGGCTTGCTTTATTGACGCTATCAAAACTGCTGGGGTAATCTGTCGGCGCCAGGGGTTCGATAATTCTAACACGTATCCACCCTTCATTTCTGGTTAGGAACCTTTTCCCTTTTGGAACCTTTTTCACCCACTCTTTCACCGCTTCTG